TCTTCATCAGAGCCTCCCCTTTCCCCATGGGATCCCAAAGGAGACAGAATACTAACAAAGCCAGCAGGCTGTCTCATTCCACACTATTGCTCATTTGCAGCTATAATTGGTAGCTGAGGTTGCATTCTGTATGCTGAGACTGTCATACATGAAGGAATATATTTGTTCATTGTGATACCGATATAAATCGGCTAGTTTTCAAATACAGAAAGACCAAACTAGATACCCAACAATAAAATTGCAGTGAAAAAGACACGGTTAAAAAAAAATTGTGTTTATTGCAAAGCTGAGGTTGTTAAAACTGCATCTGCTTCTTGCTTTTTAATATCTTGCTATTTAATTCAACTGATTAAACATTTACGTATTCAAACTAACATAAAATACCAAAATTCCTAAGTTTTGACAGGATGCCTTATTCTCATCTGTCAGGGTTAAAGTGATATTGTTAATAATTGGGTTTTTTACATTTTCAGTGTTAATATCTTCAGTGTTTGCAGCTTCCTGTGTGTATCTGCCTCATAGGAAAATTCATGTTGATATTTATAGTGGTGTGGCTTTTTGGTGCCTTTGAAATAATACTGTATTTTGATTGTTTGGAATTTGTTGACAGATTTTGCGGTCATCCTACGTGCTCTATCAGAGTGAGTCCTGGACAGAGGCTAAGAAAGTTTGAGTTGGAGTCCTAGAGTAGGAAGTATAATATCACCTCATTGAACTGTCATTTTCTCATCTGTCAAATGTGGGGAGCTGGGTAGTTTTTAAGATTCATCTCTGAGCTTCTGCAGTCCTTAGTTCAGAAAATTGTCTTGCTGATCACTTACCACTAATAATGAAGATTTGGAACACTTTAATAGGTCCAGAATAGAGAAATTTCTAAGTATTGTTCCACTTTCTAATTAATCTGTATCAGAGGCATTGGAAGATCCTGAGGTTGTCAGAGTGCTGCGAAGCTGGTTGGGAGGGAGTAGTGTTGTCAGAGAAGTTCATCTAATCTCTTCTCTTGCATTGTCACCTTTACATCAGGCCTGGCCACAATTTAGACCCAGTTGTCTTTCTAGATAAGTTTTGTTTGTGTGTGTGCTGCCCTTACATATTTGTTACCAGTTTTATTCTTTTATTTTTATTTCTGAAGAGACTAAAACCAAACCAAAGAATAGAGACAGAGAATGTGATATAAGACTTCAAAGCAAGATAATAGGAAATCAGCAGTGGTTACTGTAATGCCTCTTGTTATTTTCAAAGTGGCTATTTTGACAGTTTTATTCTTTTAGCCATAGTAGTAATTTTGTGCATTATTTTGTGGATTTTTTTTTTCTCTTGAGGTGAGCAAGTTTGAAATTCACAGTAATTTTACACTCTGTGCTTGGTGTATCAGTTCTAAAATTCTACTTCCCTTCATTCCCCCTCCTATATTAATCTAAAATTAGAAGTTGTCTTCTAGTTATGATTTATTGACTGTTATTTTCATGCTGCATAAAATGATGATGCATCCTATATAAAAGGTAACTATTTATTATCTAATTCCTCTAAGTTCCGTAATAGTTTAGGTTTTGTAAAAAGCAAAAATAAAAGCACAAAAACACATGAGTGTCATGCCATGGTAGTGTCACACTCCAGTCAGTAGGGAAAGGGGGAAACAGGACTTTTCCCTGTGATGCAATAAAGTAGTGTACATTGACCCGGGGAGCATTGTACTGATAATTAAAGTTTAGGCATTGGAATATTTTAGACGTAATGTACCTTAATGATGAGCTATTCTCTCCATCCTCCACTGGCTGTTAATGCTCCTGGGGTTTTATTTATTTTTTTTTGCTTGCCTCTCCCAGCTTTTTATGCAGTCTGCACTATGTGTTGGTTCTTTTCACCTCTTAACCTGTGGGCTGTCATCTACATAATGCTGTTCAGTAGATTTTGGTTGAGGGAAATGATGCTGAAGGCGTTTATTTTATGTGGTGTTAATTTTTAATTTGAGGGGTAAGTGAGCCTGTCTTTGGATTTTTATTTCAAACCTTTAACATAGAACAGAAGCAAAGTGGATTGTTTCTCACTGTAAATCCAAATTTTGAGGTCACCTGTACAGTTGATTCTTTGCTCAGTTAGAAGTGAGTTTTTAGGATGCGTTTCTGAGTTGGAATTTAAGGATGTATACTGACTGGCAGTAAATGAACTTTATGCTGCTATGCCCAGACTTACGAAGGAATGCCAGTTGGCTAGCTTTTTGAAGGCAGTTCATCCCAGCTTGTTGTTCTTGGGTGCTGCTGATCTAGTGCCCATGGCTGTACCACATTATATACAGAATCTGCCAAAAAAAATTAATGGAGACATCAGGGAAAGAAAAATTTTGTTTCAATATTTCAATACTAAATTTATTGAGACATGAGATTAATATAAGTTATCTTTGGACCCTACAGTTATAAGAGGACCTCAAAGTAGTCACCTTAGCTACCAGACATTTATTAGTCTGCTGAACTACTGAAGTGTGTATACATTATTTTGGTGGGCTCTATATTTTAAAATGTTAAAGCCCAGTGTAGCCAAGGAATTTTGCTTGTTTAATAATTATAGCCCATTGTGGGCCTGGTTTGTTTTCATTAGTACATGTTCACAGTGTGTAATGATTACACTCCTTGTGGGAAGACATCTTAATTCTTCTTATATCTTTGCCTCTTCCCTCCCTCTCTCCCTCCCTTCCTGGCTGGATTCCCCATCCCCTCCATTGTTATCCATGTTCTTGTCCCTCCCTCCTCTCTCTTCTCCCTCCAGCTCTTGAATCACTTCTCACTTCAGAAAGATTTATCTCCCTGCTTTCTATTATCTGACTTTTATTTTGTTGTTTCTATTTTGAATTTCTTGTATGAAAGAAACTGATATTTTGTGAGGCTTTTTTGTAGCTTCTTAGACAACCTTTGGACAGCCTTCAAGTTCAAGGTCACATATTTACCCAATTATCTTTCCTTAAAGTTTTTTCCTGGATCTCACATCTTTTCTTCTTCACATAATTTATAACTCTCCCTAGGAATTAACATGCCATATGCATTTACTGAGTAACTATTGAGTCTCAAGTGCTTCTCAACATGTTTTCTTTGATTTGGAAAGTTTATATTATACTTGAGAGCATGTTCAGTGTGTGCTTTGCACTTGAACTGCTCTGATCTCTAGAATAGTACTTTACTTTTTTTTATTTGTTGAAGTTTCATATCTGACTTGGCTGGAAAGTTCCCTAAAGTATGTGGTTCCTTGACAAATGCAATGAAGAACTATGTTGCACAAATTCTGCTTGAAAAGGAAAAGTTCCTCCTCCCCCTCAGCCACGTTTTAAACTGACGCAATGACCTCTGTCTACTGTTACTAAACTCACTTTTTTTGGTACTTCAAAAGTAGTTTTTTATTTCTATCTGCCGAGTATATGTTATATGACAAGAGGATTTTTATAAAGCAGATGGATTAAAAATGTTTATGTTTCCTTCATCCTGTCAGGAAGACGATGTTAAAGGGCATAGAACTTACATGCACTAGAACAGTGATGGTGAACCGATGGCACACATGCTGTAGTGGAATGTTTGTTATCATTGAAAGCTTCCAAAGTGTTTGCCATCACTGCACTGGACCTTTGGAAGAAACAAGATTTTCTTTTCTTTTTTTTTTTTTTTTATTTAAGGAGAAAAGAAAAAAAAAAAAAACAGTGAAGGGGTACAAGTTATACAGATTTACAGAAGAAAAAATGCACAGTAGGAAATCACTAGTTAATGGATTACATATTGCCATCTTAGAAATAATTGTTCAAGTCACAAAATTAAAGCTTGTAGAGTGGACATTCCAACAATGATACTGCAAACAGTTCTGTTCAATGATCCAATAAAACTCTGTGATATCATTTTCTATCTTATACACTTAAATATACATGCAGTTATATAGTTTAGAGCACTTTCTTTTCCTCTCTTTTGTACAATGACTATTACACATTTTGGGTTTCATTGCTCCCACGGTTCTTATTGCTTTTTTGGAAGAGAGTAAAACCAAATGTGACATAACAGGACAGAATCGGTCAAGTCAAAAGGGTGGACATAATAGATAATATAAAAACATAATACAAGGTGATCAACAATGGTTACCATAATGCCTCCCGCTATCTCTAATAGAATTGCCTATATCATTAGTTGTAATACAATTGAACAAAACAGTAAAGAACAAAACCGACAAAACCAAAACATTGGAGACATTGTAGGTCTTCAAAAGTAGATAAAAGTCAGCTTGAGAATGGGTGTTATAATGAATCTCATTATCTTCTCAGCTGATGCCTAAACAAGATTTTAGAGCCATTCCCCTGTGTCTTGACGTAGCTGAGGCCATCCCATGACACGCTTTGGTCGCCTCCTTGGATAATAAGGAATCAACATGAATGTAGCCCCTCTTTCCATAAGGCATTGGGATTTCTGTAGCCCACAGCTCTCATTGGACTAGGATTAGAGGGGTTGATCAGGAACTTAAAATTTCCATCTCCTAAAGATGGAAGAGATGGGGAAGCCATAGTCGGTTTCATTGTTTCCAGTCATAGTGGTTGCTCTGATGGGTGTTAGTACCCCAGGATTGTCATCTATAGGGATTGCCATAAGCGAGATGCTGTCTCTTGTTTCTTGAATGTTGTTCTCTCCCTCTCAAAATGCTTGAACTGTGAGAAATGTTGGCAGATTCATTTTTGGAGTTAGCTGTCTAGTAACTAGTCACAGTGGGTTGCTAGACAAGGCTTTCGTTACTTTTATTTATTTATTTATTTATTTATTTTGCCTATGATAAAAGCTTAAAGCAAAGGGAACAAAATTGAAAATGTAGTGTCTGATAGAAGCATTTTCCTATTTATATGCTAAAACACAGTACATTTTAATCCATTTCTATCATGGGTTTTGGTAGCTGCAAAGAGCTGTTCTGGCTAGGTTAAAGAATGTTGTCTGGATTTTTTTTTTTTTTTTTTGGTCTGTCTCTGACTTTGTTTTGCTTTACAGGACTACAAAGCTAATGAAGACCCAGCATTATACCAGTCAGTCAAGACTAAGAGAGGCCCTTTGGGACCCAACTGGAAGGTACTGGATGCTGACCTTTCTGACAAGCAGAATCTTGGCAGCAGAACACTTGACAGGTCCTGAGTCTTGAAGAGCTGGTGATGTTTAAGTGAAGAATAAAAATGGCACACAAAATAGTTTTATTTGTGATAAGGACTTGTAGCCAGTTGCAGTTGGCCTGCAAGTCTGGACTTAACAAACTGCACAGAGCCCGTCTGTCACTTTCAGCATAATGCTATTCTGATAACTCTTAAAAGAGACCAGTTATTTAGTCCTTGGGGATAGTAACATTCTCTTGAGACTTGAAGCTGTGTAAAAATGCATGTTAAATGAATGTTTATAGTTACAAATTTAGTCTTACTAAAAACTGAACAAATTCTCTTCACCAAAGCTCACATTCTTGGCCTTTTGATAGTTATATTTTGAAAGCAGAACACCAGAGAACAATTTCTGTGGCAAGTAGTTGTTTTTGAATGAAGAGTATACTTTTGCTTTATTTATACAAGTAAGAAAAGCAGTGCCTGGTGATATTGTGAATTGCTGTAGATATAATGCATTTGAAAGACGTCCACAGTACTAAATGACAAACTTAAAGAAGCTTAAGTGTGGATGCTAGGTTGCTAGAGCTGATTTGACAGAAGAGAACACAGAAACCTAAAAGTGCCCTGAGCACATTTTCCACCACAGCGTTTTCCTGGAAACCAGTCTGTTCACGGAGAACTAGTCACAGAGTATTGGTAAATGGTGGCTAGATGCTAGTTGTTGCTTGCAAGCAGAGGATTACTGTAACACTCCACAGATAATTCGTTGATTGGTTGTCCATTATTATTGTATTTCAGCTAAAGAGAAGAATAAGTCTGATTTGGTTTTATAGGAAATGATTCATTATTTGTTTTTACATTTGTTCTCTGGGTTATTCAGTTTATAGTTCTCTCAATGATCAGGACTAGAAATTTAATACCTAGAAAGCAATATATCTCACATATAAATTAAGGAATGGATCAGTATGCATGATCTAAATTTTTTCTAATGGTGTGTAGAATGTCTTGACCCTTTTTCAGATTTCTAGTTGCAGACTGTAGACTCAGAGTTAGAAGAGATGTAATTCTGGCCTTTTAAGTAGCACTGTGCCAAGCAGCAGGTGGGCTGAAACTCCTGCAAGGAGGCTGCCTTCATTCCCAAAGGGGCATCTTATTCCAGGAAGCACTCAGTCTGGTTCTTGGTGATGCTATGTGGAATGTTTAAAATTCGAGTGGTTTTGTGTTTAGAATAATATGAATTTATCATTTTGTCAGTTGTGGAAGTGTAGTATATTTTTCAGAGATTGAACCCAAGTTACCTTGGTTGTGAGGCAAATACTGAACTACATCTTACCCCTATTTTTATTATTATTTTTAGCTTTTATTTTTATTTGTTGATTTACTTATTTTAATTCAGGTTGACTTGAACTCTGAGCAGTCTTCCTGCCTCAGCTCCTCGAGTTCTGGGATTCCAGGAGTGTGGTACCATGCTTGGCTCCTTCGTCTAATTTTATTTTGAGTCACGATTTTGCTAAGTTGCCCATGCTGCCTTCGAACTTGCAGATTTCTTGCCTCATCCTGTACATTTTTTTCCCTCCTACTTCAGATAATAACATCACCCTGATAGAAGCTGCCCCATGCATGTGATTGTTGATTGTTCACTTTGGTAAAATGATGCTGGATTTGAGGACTTTTTGTAAATTGAGTTTCTGAATTTCAGTGAATTATCATGAACTCACAAATAACTTGGGTAATCAAGAATACCCAATCAGTCCGTTTATTGCTGTGAAGCGAAATAGAGAGATTACAGTTGCTGAGAGTACAACATAACAGAAAATAGGTTCCTGTGGGCTTCAGCTCCATAGCTTCTGTAAATGTGTTCAGCCGGCCCTCTTTTGCATAACTGTCCTGGTTGCAGGAAGAATGATAGTTGGAGGACAGGTGTGTGGTAGTTAGGCTAAGAAGGAAGGGGAAGTTGTGCTCTGGACCTAGTCCCACGGGATCTAGGGAAGACTGATCTCGCGTAAGTGCTGGCTGGGAGGTGGGGGCGTGGTGGTGAAGCGAGGGGACGTGTGCTGCAGCGGGCTGCGGCCTTTAGACACTCTAAAAGGCTGACTGTCCCTGGTGTAAGTGTGTACCCGCTTTGTAAATAAGGCTGAGTCTGCTCACCCACGTGCTTTGACGGATGGCTGCTACCTTACCAGTGCACTTGAAAACCAAGGCCAATCCCTTGGTCTTTTTTCTTCCATTCTTGTTCTAAACCTTGGGTCTCCTTTGTGTTAAGCATGCAGTTTACTACTGAGTTTTACACCCCTGGCCCCTGTGATTGTTTTGATACATTTCCTTACTTACCCCTTGGAAGTATTTTCCTTCTCAAGTATTGCACTGTTTATGGCCTATGTTCTCTAGATGGTGTCAGGTCCTGTACAAGGTCACATTGAATCTTCCCTACACTCCTTTGGGACAGGCACAGCTGATTAGTTTTATCAGTGAAAAACATGGCTTCACGAACAAAGGCGATGATTGTAGGAGAAGCTGCATGGTGCCTGCCATTTCAGTAGCACCTGATCCAGTGCTGCTGGAAGGCAGGTGAGAAGTGATGTAGCAGAGTCTGATTCCCAAGCTGGTGACTGCTGTGTGTTTCCACCTTTTAGGCCGCGTTGCATCACTGCGCTTGTATGAAACAACGCAAGTGCTATGACTTAGCTCTCTGAGCCCGTTTCCACATCTCTAAAGGGAACATTAGAAACTACCTCAGAAAGTAGTATGAGGGTTCAATGAAATAAAAGTAAGTTCCCAGGGCAGAGGAGGTGCTCAGTGTACATTTCATACCATTATCATTGCACTTTTGTCTTTGTATATAGCGGTTCTTCATGCCTTCATTGTGTCTTGAAGTTGATGAGATCTCTGAATATGCTACCCTATATTTATGACAGTCACTTTTTAAAATCTCTAATGTCAAGTAATTCCTCTCATTCTAGCATCTAGTTGCTGTTACACCTGTTATCGATGTCATATTTCACTTGTCCTTAGCCCTTGTGGGTGTATGTATCTATAGTGCCAGCCTTGAGGGTCATATAGTTCAGAGAGCCTTCTCTAAGCAGGAGATGATGTGGCTGGAAATAAGGAATAATGTTTCCTTTTTTCCACATTGGTTAAGAGTACGGACTTTGCTTGCTTGCCTGCTCTCCCTCTCCCCCCTCCACCGCCACTATGACACGGTAGGTATATATATATATATTTTTTTTCTTTTTCTTTTGTTAAACTATAGGCTCAGATGCAGGCTTGGTTAAATGTTCATTTTTCTTCTGAAGAAAGAATTTTAAAATTTGAGCACATGAGTTACATTTTGCTATTTAGGGCTCAACACTTGAATAAGTGACTGTGTGTATAGTAATATGAGAGCGATTTATAACCTGATTAAGATTTTTGCTTCAAGGCAGAATCACGGGTTTCTGACGGATGTGAATGTCTTGCTTTTCTATAGTACCATGTATATGCGTGCATATGTGTGTGTGTGTGTGTGTGTGTGTGTGTGTGTGTACGCATACATGTTTTCACTTTATGTTCAGGGGGCTTTATGTATGTGTTGCAACACTGACCTAAGTACCTAGTCTGATAATGTACCTAAAACATTTCTCGTATGGATTCTCTTTAGTGTTCCTGTTTTTCTTCTCTGATTTGGGTGAGAAGTTGTCATCTTAACAAATTGAAACACTACCTTTGATGGCAAGGCATTGTTTTTTTCTCCATTTAAGCCAGACACTTCATGAAGACTTAAGCTTCTGTGTCTACGTATGTATGATAGTAATTAGGCCTCAGAAGGCCTTTGTGGGAGACTTTGCCAAAGCATCTGTCCCTTACAGTGCTCGACAAATTTTAGAGATCTTAGCCAGTGCTCTAAACCTTGTATTAAAAGGGGATCAGGTCAAACAAGTTGATTCAGAAATTATGGTGTTTTTTTTGGTTATTATCTTTATATGGTATCCTCTTTTTAATCATTAAAGCACATCCTGTTTGTCCTGTTAGCTTTATCTAAACACAAACCCTAGCACTTGAAACTCGACCTTTCAAACAGTTGTGCTGTTTGCTTGTTTAGTCACACTGTAGATTTATTCTAGAAAGGCCTTAGGGATATTCTGTGTCCCCCAGACCAGAGAGGATGGTCAAATTCCTTCTCTTTCTATTCCACATCTGTGAAAAGATGATGGTAGCCTTGGTTGTCAGAGGGTTAAGATAAAGAAACTGCAAGATGGTTGGCTGGGGGTAGGAATAGTGGAAGTAGTGTTAGGAAAAAGTTGAAAACCTGCTGTGGAAAGCTCTTTTGAAATAGAGACTGGCAGGAAAGAGACCCCCAAACTCAAGTGGCTCATGAGAAGTGTCTTTTTCTGGTAGCCATCCTATCAGGATGACTGATGGTCCTCTTTTCTCCTAGTCTAGACATGTCTGTGAGACCTCGAGAGGATGTGGAAGGCATTTGAAAATGTGCTCCCTCCTTATAATCTCACCTTTGAAACTCTATACTGGACATAAAGAGGCTTAATAATAGTTATTTTCTGGCTAGGTTATATTTTGGATTATGTGTAATAAAGCAAACATGCAAATGTAGGTGAGCTTTTTTAAGTTCTTTGGTGACTTGAGTTTTGTTCATTTTTTAAAAGTTGTGCATTTAGTACTTACTATTTATTAGTTACACTCCTGCATCCTCCTATAGAAGACACCAAACAAGTCATTTTTATGTCTTTCAAGAAGCTGGGTACTGAAAGACACATGATTCATTCTGGCAGTGTTGTGGCTGTGGAATATCTGTGTCTCAAAGAGCTGCAGGAATCAGGCCTGGATAAGTAAAATATCTTACCTGGCTTCCAGAAGTAACCTTAGCAGAATGGGCCTCTTGCAGTGTTCCTTCCTGACACTGTCGGGCATATGTGTTTCGTAGTTCCACTTGAGTATAAATCTGTGGTTTCGTTTGTACTTTATGTTACACTGTGGTAAATGAGC